TATTAACTTATTCAATTTACCAAACGTACATGTTTTTCAATTGCTTCAGGTTCAACAAGCTTGTTATCTTTCTTACGAGTCTCAAAGAAAATAGTCGCCAAATCTGGTGGATTGCCATCTTTCCCACCCTTTACATCAAATTCAAACACGTCAAATAACACAAACCTCGTAAATACTCCATCAGGGAAAATAGTTTTTTAACAATACCTTTTGATAAATAATCTCTCGAATAGGTTTGCTACCAATATGATGGAGCATCTTCAACTTAGATCGGTTTTTTGCATTCCTGATGCTTCTTTCCTATATTTGTAAAACGTTAAACTTAATTAGAATAATTATAACAAAATTGTTAAAACATAAGGCATCTCATGCCTGAACAAGCTTCAAGGGTGTTTCCTAGTAATAAACTTAAGCAGTATACATACCTGAAAACTTTCAGAAGTAAAATGTTCTTTTACTAACCATTCCCATTCTTTTTTGTCTACTTCCCTTGGGATATTCTTAAGAGATTGTTGAATGGGCTTATCCTTCACATATTTTGCATGTAAGTATCCTCTCCATTTGTTCCATAACTCATTCATCCATCCCAAGATATGATCACGATGATCATTCATGTCAACAGCCTCAAATTTGTGCTACAAAAATTGGGACATGAGTTGAGTTATTACCAAGGGAGAAGAATCAAGAAGGACAAAGCAGAGCATAACAGAGAAAACAATACAAACCATAGAAAGAAATGGCAAACTGAAAAAAAAACCAAAGAAGAATATATTGCAAAATAGAAAAACACAAAATAGGGGAAATTGCAAAACAGAGCTTTTTCTCGCTCTTACTGAAGTCTTGCTTCTCACTTCTAGGACTGAAGAGCTCACTTTTTTACCATAGCTTCGCTTCACTACAAAAAAAGTGATACAAATTTTTCTCGCTTTAAGCAACGAAGCGCTCGCTTTTAATAACATTGTACCATCTGTAGTTCTGGATCATGTTCTACAAAATCAACGTCAACAAAGAGAGAATCATTACAACAGATCCTTGTTGCAGTAGAACAAGAACACATTTGTTGGACCACATTTATGTTAATGAAATATTTGAATGGAGTTTAAATTTGTTACCTCAACAGCTGCCCACATGTGACTTAACTTTTCTTGCTTAATATCACTCCACGAGGTTACTCCCAATGGACATATATTACGATCACGAACAATTTTTTCCCAAATGCCTTGAAAACAATTTGCTATTTGTTCCAACAGTTCGATTATTGTAAAATGTTATTTTAAGCTTTTCTCTATTTTCTAGTGAAGCAACTTCTTTGCAGATGTTGCTCCCTCGAACTCTTCTTACCTTTGTAGGATAAGATGAACCTACGATGCATAATTTAATAAAAACTATAGAAATCAAATTCAACTTTAGAAATTAATAAGATATGGATTGAAAATAACGTACCTTTTTAAGTTGTTTGAGAGTGTTCCTTAACTTGATCAATAGATGGAGGCAATGAAATATTAGTTTGCATATCCTCTTTCTCAAGAATCATTTAATCCATTCTTTGCATTTCTTGACTAGACGACATGGTCAAATTTGCTCTTGTGCTTTTAGAAGAGTTTTGATATGTTGATTAGCATAAAGAGCACTCTTGTTAATATTTTCCACCTCAGATTCAGAAGTCATGTAGTTGTTATGTTTCATTCCCATTCCTTGACTAGTAGAAAAATTAGAGCTTTTAAATCCTTGTTCTCGCCCCTTCCCTATCAAACCTGGAGAAATCAAATCATATTAGCAATACTTTAGCCTAGTGCTTCAGAGAGGAAGAAGCTGAAAAAAATTAACAAGTACTTGCAGAGAAGATTAGATTGTTAAACAGAAAAAACATAGTGTAATACAGAAATTGAAAAAGTAATACAAAGAAGAGAAAAATGGTTGCTCTTTGGGGAGCTACGATGTGCTACATCTGGAAAGTACGAAACTGAAAATAGTTCAAAGGTATTACATATAAACTTGAACTTTTGTTTGAAAACATAGCAGATTTCCAAAAATCTTGTCTAGACTTCTTGGGTATATATATAGCTTACCTAGATTAGTCGATGCATGAGCTGAGGGGTTAGTTTGCTTGTTCTCTTTCTCAAGATCAATGGAGTTCTTAGGTAATGTTGTCATTCCTTGACTAGTAAACAAAGTAGAGTTTGTAAGTCCTTGTCCTCGGCCCTTCCCTACACAACATGGAGAAAACAAATCATATTATCAATATTTTAGAGTATTCTTTTTGAGAGTGAGAAACTGTAAGAAATAACAACGGCTCAAAGAGAAGATAAGATTTTGAGACAGAAAAAATAGAGCATTATACAAAAAAAATAACAAGGGCTATGTTTTCACTATCGACTCACTTGAGGGTAGAAAAGTGATAAAAGTATGATTCATTTCGCTTCTCATTTTAAGCAACAAAACACAATATCGTAACAACCTACTTTAGCACTTAGGTTTATACAACGGTGGCACCTAGTCATTTCAATATTGAATAACAAATTTGAGAAAAAGAAGAGATTTACCAATAATTTAGAATAGTGTTTCAGAGGAAGAAGCTGAAATTTTTTTGACAAGTACTTGCAGAGAAGATTAGATTGTTAAACAGAAAAAAACATAGTGTAATAGAGAAATTGAAAAAGTAATACAAAGAAGAGGGAAAAAATGGATTCAGCCATGAAATAGGAAATAATCTTTGAGAGTTATAAAAGTAAGATAGTGTTACTACTAATTTTATTGTGCACATAAGCTGGAGGTGTAAAAATATGAATACATGTTTCAGCATACCAAGCATGTTTCATCCTCTTATTTAACTATAAGAAGTTTAAGACGGAAATGGTGGTTGCTCTTTGGTGAGCTACTATGTGCTACATCTAGAAAGTAAGGAACTGAAAATAGTTCAAACGACTTATAGACAAACTTGAACTTTTATTTGAAAACATTGCAGATTCTCAAAAATCTTACTTGTCTACACCTCTTGGGTGTTTTTCCTACCTAGATTAGTCGATGCATGAGCTAAGGGGTTAGTTTGTTTGTTCTCTTTCTCAAGATCAATGGAGTTCTTAGGTATCGTTGTCGTTCCTTGACTAGTAAACAAAGTAGAGTTTGTAAGTCCTTGTCCTCGGCCCTTCCCTACACAACATGGAAAAAACAAATCATATTATCAATACGTTAGAATATTCTTTTTGAGAGCGAGAAGATGTAAGAAATAACAGCGGGTCAAAGAGAAGATTAAATTTTCAGGACAGAAAAAAACAAAGCATTATATTAAAAAAAAAAAAAACCAGATCACTGGATTGAGAAACAAAACTCTTACTTGTTTCAATTTCTTGGATGTAGTGATAAACCAGATCACTAGATTGAGAAACATAACTCTTAGTTGGCAAATTTCTTCTCTCAACCAAAGATTTAAGCCCTCGTCCTCGGCCCTTTCCAATAGCACCAGGCGCAACAAATGTATATCTGATAGTACTCTTCATAGATGAGTCACCCTCATTTTCAGTTTTCAATGGTTTCATCTTGAACCTGCAAAAAAGAGCCAAAAATAAATAAATAATAAGAAGACATTTACGACAATGTAAGAATAAAAGAAATCATGTCATTCTCATGAGTTTGTGCAAACTCTCTACAAAATTGAAGTGAACCATAAATATCATATAAAAAGAAATAATCGTATGGAAATAATAATGAGAAGATATGAAAGAACTCTCCATACTCGAGATATGGTAAGACTTCATCACAATTCTTCGGTATGTATATGTGTGCTTGCTCTAATTCATCTGCTTCAAGCTCAAATGGAGTTTTAGCTCCCAGAGTTTTTCCAGGTTGACAAAATAGTGATAAACCTCCATTAGATTGCTTTAAACCCCCATCATAATTTCTTTCGGGCCGATTAAATTTTGTGTCAATTCTACATAGATACCTTGAGCATAAGGTCATACATTCATTTGCAATGTAGCCCTCTGCAATACAACCTTCAGGACATGCCCTATTACCAATGAAATATTTTAGAAAATATAACCATCGTTCCACAGGATACATCCATCGATAATGAATCGGTCCAGCAATCTTAGCTTCAGTAGCTAAATGAATAGGTAAGTGAACCATGACATCAAAAAATGAAGGAGGGAAGACCTTTTCTAACTTGCAAAGTGTAATGGGAATTTGAGCTTCAATATGTTCCAAGTTATCAATTCTTAACTCCTTTGATCCAAGAACACTAAAAAATAAAATAACTCAATAAGAGGTTCACACACTTCTTTGGACAACATACCACGAAGTGCAAGAGAGAGTAGATGTTGAAGAAGAACATGACAATCATGACTTTTCAACCCAGATATCTTGTGATCTTTCAGGTTCACACATTGAGAAATATTAGATGAAAATCCATTAGGAACCTTTAGATTCTTTAGGAAAAGGCATAACTTGTGCTTCTTTTCGGGAGACAATGTGTAGCATGCAGTTGGAATTTCAATTTTCTCCCCATTTTGGATAGGGTACAATTCTGGCCTAATGTCCATTTCTTGCAAATCTAACCGAGTTTTAATTGTGTCCTTGGTCTTTCCTTTGACATTCATGATTGTCCCCATAATATTATCACATATATTTTTTTCAATATGCATAACATCCAAATTATGTCGCAACAACAGACTCTTCCAATATGGAAGTTCAAAAAAGATACTTTTTTTGTTCCAATTATCCTTTCGATTTTCATGTGATATCTTCTTCCTGTTCTTTGGATCCTTTGATAATTGTATCCCTTCAAGATCCTGCACTTGATTAAGTATCTCAATACCAGAACGCATTTGTGGCAGGGGTCTTCTCTCATTTGTACCATCAAATGACTTCTTCTCATTCCTCCATTTGTGATTATGAGGAAGGTAACATCGATGACCCATATAACACTGCTTCTTACCATTAGCTAGTCGAGTTGATGAAGTGTCTTTATTGCAACATGGACATGCCAATTTTCCTTTTGTACTCTATCCAGATAAATTTCCATATGCTGGAAAGTCATTAATGGTCCACAACAAAGAAGCGTGCAACTTAAAATTCTTTCTAGTTGATGCATCATATGTCTCAATGCCAACTTCCCACAATTCCTTCAATTCCTCTATTAAAGGCTGAAGATATGTATCAATTGCATCTCCTGGGCCATTTGGACCAAGAATAATCATTGACAAAATAAAATTTTCTTGTTTCATGCACAACCAAGGTGGTAAATTATAAGGAATAAGTACCACAGGCCAAATGCTATGTGAGGTTTTTGAATTTCGAAATGGCTGAAATCCATCACTAGCAAGTCCAAGTCGAACATTTCGAGGCTCGGCAGCAAATGAAGGATGAAGTTCATCAAATGACTTCCATGCCATAGAATCAGCTGGGTGCCTCATTATTCCATCATCAACTCTTTTATCCTTATGCCATGTCATAAAAGTAGATGTCTTTGTAGACATAAACAACCTCTGAAGTTTAGGCTTTAAAGGAAAATAGCGTAAGCTCTTTGATGCTATTTTTTTTCCTTTTTTATTCCTTGTTTCCCCGCTATGTGTTGCTATCTTCCATCTAGACGCCCCACAAACTTTGCAAGAATCGAGTTGGCTATCCTCCTTCCAGTATAACATGCAATCATTAGTACAAGCATCAATATTGTTGTAAGAAAGGCCGAGTTCTTTAATTATCTTTTTTGCCTCATAATATGAGTTTGGCAAATCGACGCCATCCGGCAACAACTCCTCTTTCAACATTTTCAATAACATTGTAAATGACGCATTACTCCAACGACCCATACTTTTGATGTGAAGCAATTTAATCAAAGAGGAAAGCTTTGAAGCTTTGGAATTTTGATATAGTGGCTGCTCGAAATTCTTCAATAGGCTATAAAATCTTTTTGCTTCAACATTTGGTTCCTCCTCAAGTACATCATCACCATCAGTATGTGTAGTTCCTCCATCAAGATTAGGATATAGATCTCTCAACAATTCTTCTACTTCATCCTCACTCTCACATTCGTTTACTTCATCACCATCTTCATATTCAAATTCAGATTCTGACAATGGCTCACCCAAACGTTCTCCATGGTGATACGAAAAAGTATAATTCTTAATTATTCCATATACTTGTAAATGTGTCTCAACTGTTTTACGAGTTCCTAAAGTTGTATTGTAACATTTGACACATGGACATCGTATTTCATATTCTTCTCCTGTTTTTTGAAAAGCATAATCTAAAAACTTTTGCTCGCCTACTAAATAGGTTTCATCTAGACGATGGTCAACTAGTTGCATCCATTGCTTACTAGGAGCCATAACCTTGAAAAGTACATAAAAGTTAGATTAAAAAAGATAAAGGATAAAAAAAATACTAAGATACATACAACTTGTATAATTAGATGCACAAAATAGAAATGTGTGTTATGATTGATACACAACTTGTTAAAACGTACACTACTTGTCTAAAAGAATTATTCATGGTGTTCCATTTAACTCATCTCAAGATAAGATAAAATGGAGTATCTAATTATTTGATAGAGAAGCTTATTGTACATCTCACTCAACTCACATGTGACTTTTTGGATTTCAAAAATGATTGAAATGCATTTTTTAACAAAAAAATAATCAGATTGAACTAAGAAACATAAAAGATTACTTATCTTAAAACATGTAATCTTCTATAGCTTTGTACTTACACAAAATAGTCGTTTGTGATTAAAAAATTCTTGTTGGTAGTCGCTTGTGATTAAAAAGTCTTGGCTCATAACTAACTTATCCTAATGTTAAGAATTACTTAATCGCATCCTCAAACTAATACATAAAGAAAGAATAAAGCAAACTTGCAATTCCAACTATATGCTACATTGGTTATAAGTTTAAACTCCAAGACACCACATTTTCCATCACTAAATCATAATAGAGGTGAATGTTTGTTTAAGTTTGAGAATTAAATTTAAATTCATATATATATATATATATATATATATATATATATATATATATATATATCAGTCATGCAGTTGTGCATAGCATGAAAGGATTAATATAAAATCCTATCATACTCCATTTATCAGAAATACAACTACACATAATGGTTCTGGCCCTGTGCTGGGTCATGGATATCTCATCTCTTAGCTAAGAACCTAAGACATAATGCTACAGGAGCCGAGCAAATGACTCTCATGATTTCAGGAACATAAAGTTGTTGACAATCGCCTATGAACTTGAGTGGTTTATGTCACCTATTATGTAATTGTACTTTTACAATGAAGAATGTTTTTTGAATCTTTAGTGTCTTTTTTTTCTATACCAAATGATACAACTAGTAACACAGGTGTTTGGGTTCTTATGAACATAATAATCTTTTTTTTTGGTTTTCCACTCCATGTTTGGAATCTGTTTTGGGGCACCGACAAATTCGGACAACTGTTGTGTAAGACTCGTTAAAAAGAGATGCGCTCTCTACCAGATTGTTTTCCATTTTCAAGTCTCAAAGTAAAGCTTCTGGTTAAAGGTTTAGGAATTATACCCATCCTACCACAATCCTTAGTGACAAACATGATAATCGTATTGAACCTAATCTTCATGATAATATGAAATTGTACAGTTAAGACAACCAACATGTTCAAAATCTAGACTTACTATATTGAGTTTTGAAACTTTTCTTCTGTTTATTATAAGGTGTCCAGTTGGAGAGATTCATGAAGGGACGAAAGAAGGTAAGATTGTTATTACCTTATATTGCAGGTTAAGAAATGAGAAATTCAGCCTCCAAAGTTGAAAACAGAAGATCCCAATAAATCTTATGTTCAGCGACCTATGAAACGAGGTTAAGCACATGTATTCAATTAGTTTTGTTTCAGTGATATTTAAAGCTTGAACTGACTATGGTGGAGTGTAAGCTTCACACTTGTATCAATTTGTATCTGTAGCACACTTGGTTATTCTGCAGCAAAATATATTTAGCACCATATTTTAGATGTAAATTAAGTTAGACTATACATATATGGGGATCCCTTAATTATTGCATTTGGCATACATTTCTGTCTACGAACTGAATCCTGATAGGCTATTCGTGATATATATGTTATATGCATATACGACAGGTGAAATAGGAGTCACTGTTGTGGAGTTTTATCTATGGAACTTGATTGTCCATTATATTGACTCTATTTTTCAATTACAGGAGTTAAAAAAGAGGAAGAACAAATAGAGTAGCTTGAATACAATAATAAAAAAAGCGACCTCAATAAAACATATAGAAGAAACACAACAACTCGATTGGAAGAGGAACCAACCTGGAATTCTGTTTCGAGCAAAGCTGGGGTGCAAGTCTGTTTTGAGCAGAGCAGCAACGATTCAAGCAAAAAGACGCGGTTAGGAGAGGAACGTCAAGATTATGCAGGAAGAACAAAGAGTGCAAATTGAATACAACAATGAAAAAATGACATCAGTAAAACATATCAAAGAAACACAACAACTCGAATGGAAGAGGAACCAACCTGAAACTTCGTTTCGAGCAAAGTTGGGGTGGAATTCTGTCTTGAGCAGAGCAGCAACAATACAAGAAAAAAGATGGGATTAGGCAGAGGAACATCAAGATAAGATTATGCAGGAAGAAAAAAAGAGTGCAGCTTGAATATAACAATGAAAAAACGACATCAGCAAAAGATATAGAAGAAACACAACAACTCGATCGGAAGAGGAACCAACCTAAAATTCTTTTTCGAGCAAAAGCTGGGGTGGAATTCTGTTTTGAGAATAGCAGCAACTATACAAGCAAATAGACGCGATTAGGGCAGAGGAACATCAAGATAAGATTATGCAGGAAGAAAAAAAAGAGTAGCTTGAATATAACAATGAAAAAACGACATCAACAAAAGATATAGAAGAAACATAACAACTCAATCGGAAGAGAAACCAACCTATAATTCTTTTTTCGAGCAAAGCTGGGGTGGAATTCTGTTTTGAGAATAGCAGCAACTATACAAGCAAATAGACGCGATTAGGGCAGAGGAACATCAAGAAACGTCAAGATTAAGCAAAAAACGTGAAGAGGGCAAAGTGATGACCTTGATGATCAGATGCAATGGTGATCTAGAGCTCAAACTAGGGCATTAGGACGAGCTGTTGTATTATGAGGAAAAAGACGATGGTCTTTTCATTTACCTTCAGGATACTTTTATTTTAGCGCTTAAAATTTTGTTAAAGCTGAAAATTTCATTTTTAAAATATTTTAGTATAAAAATTGGCGAACTTTTTCCCGCTCAAGGACCTCAATATAATTTGGGACTAGTGAATTAAATTTTTAAGGACTAGATTTAATACCTTCTCAATAAAATGTACAAATAAGGACCGAAATATAATCTCGTCCTAATAGATATACTTTTAGAGACGTGATAATTCACTCGTCCTTAAATGTTGGTCTTAAATAAGGCTTTTTCTTGTAGTGTAAGACTTGACTAATTTTATCAACCCCCCCCCCTCAAGTTGGAGGTAATGTAATTACAGACAACTTGCTTAGAATTGTAGAGTACTTGACTCTAGTCAAGGCTTTGGTGAATATGTTTGCTAACTCTGAGTTTTGTTGAAATATGAAGAAGTACAATCGGTCTTTGTTGAAGCTTATCCCTAACATTTCAACAGTCCTTGATGAAGTGCAACTAATTATAACTAACTATTTCAATGGTGTTAACAAACTTCTAACTAAGACTTAACTAATTTTATCACCCCCCCATGTTGGAGGTAATGTAATTACAGACAACTTGCTTAGAATTGTAGAGTGCTTGACTCTAGTCAAGGATTTGGTGAATATGTCTGCTAACTCTAAGTTTTGTGGAAATATAATAAAGTGCAATCAGTCCTTGTTGAAGCTTATCCCTGACAAAATGATAATCCACCTCAATGTGTTTTCTTTCATGGAAAACTGAATTCTTAGAAATGTGAACTGCATCTTGGCTATCACAAAATGCATGTATAGCAATGAACTTTGTACCACCATCAACAAGCAATCTCTCAAGCCATACGAATTTCCCTACTGCTTGTCTCACAGCCCTGTATTTTGCTTCAATAGATGATAGTGACACAATAAATTGTTTCTTAGACTTCCAACTAATAGGACTATCTCCTATAAGGACTAGATAACCACTAAATGACCTCCTTGAATCAGAACAATCTGCCCAATCTGAATAACAATAAGCACTAACAGTGAGATCTGTTTGTTTGAAATAAAATTTCACAAAGTAGGATCTTGCATAAAAAATCTAAGGACATGGTAAACAACTTTCAGATGTGGCTCTCTAGGAGATTGCATGAACTGGCTAAGATGTTGAACACTGAAAGCTATATCCATTTTTGTATTTGTGAGGAAGTTAAGTTTCCCAACTAGCTTTCTATAGTGAGTAGGGTTTGATAACAACTCTCCATCCGTAGCTTTAAGTTTTTCAACAGAGTTAATAGGTGACGTTGCAACTTTGTAATTCTTGACATCAAATTCCTTTAGAAAAAACAGTAGTGAATTTTCTCTGGGAAAGAAGAACATCATCATCCTTATATAGTATTTTCAGTCCTAAAAAATAGTGTAACTTGCCAAGATCCTTTATTTTGAATTGATCATGTAAGAAACTCTTCAAAGATCATATTTACTCCAAAGGTACACCATTTGTCTTATAAAAGAGTGAGTAGTCTTGAGTGTGTATATCCCTTTGAACATAGACTGTTGGCCAGCTTATCATACCACTTCCTACTGGCCTGTTTTAAACCATATAAAGATTTTTTTAAGTCTGCAAACTAAGTTGTTGTTGTCTACCATAAGGCCCTCTGGTATGTCATGTACATTTCCTCATGTAAATCACCATGGAGGAAGGCATTATTCACATCCAATTGATACAAGTTTCATCTCTTTTTTACAGCCAAACAAATCAAAGGTTTCATAGTAGTCATTTTAAGTACAACTGAGAATGTTTCGTTTGTATAGTCAATTTCAGCTTGTTGTGTATATCCCTTTACCACCAGCCTAGCCTTGAAAGTCTCCACACTTCCATCAGTTTTGTGCTTATTATATACCCACTTACATCCAATGGCATTTTTGCATGTTGGTGGGGGGGAACAGTTCCCATGTATCATTTGTATACAATGCCTCAAACTCTTGTATCATTTTCATTTTCAAGGCAGGATTCAAGATTGCTTCAGCATAACAAGAAGGTTCGCTCTCATGTGAAATGTCCTTTACTAATTGTTGGCTACTAGAACATAACATGGTAAAGCAAACATGATCAAGGTTTTACAGGAGTGAAGCAAGGGACTGTTGTTGATCAGATGTTGATATAGTTGAGTGTAGATTAGGTAATGTGTAATTGTATTCTTTAAGGTAGTTTGGGGTATGAAGGGTTCTACTTCTTCTTCTAGATGCTGGTACTAGTGAAGCATCATGAAAAATAGGAGGATTAGGATTAGTCTTTCCATGAAGATACGAGTTAATTTAGACGTTTTTAACAGTCGGGGTGTTACATCCTTCCCCCCTTAGAAACATTCATCCTCGAATGAAAAATCTGAGTCACGTTGTTCAGTCCTTAGGAATTGCCAAAATTTAGGCAGTGTATCCTTTATAAATGTCACTATCCAGCAACCTGAAATGTAAAATTTCTAACCTAGACATCTCACATGACAACATAAATAGCTAAGCGTTATAGCTCCACCACAACAGTGCGAGCAGATATACAATGACAACCACAATAATAATAATAAGCAATAGTGTGTATATATATATATATATATATATATATATATATATATATAGGTATCTTACCTTATTGCCCTAATATAAACTAAAATGACATCACCCTGGGGTATTAAACAAGTGAGGATATTTGGACCTCATGCCATCTCAGCTTCCCAGGTCACCTTTTCTCTATTTTTGTTCCTCCACAATACTTTAACCGAAGCCACCTCTTTGGTCCTCAATTTACGGACCTGCCGATCTAATATAGCAACTGGAGTTTCCTCTTAGGACAACTCCTTGTGATTTAAACATCCTCAACTGGGACAACCCGAGAATGGTCTCTACACACTTCCGTAGCATCGATACATGGAAAACTGGATGAACAGATTTTAGCCCCGAAGGCAATTCTAACTCATAAGCCACTCGTCCTACCCTTAGAAGGATCCGGTATGGCCCAATGAATCTTGGACTAAGCTTTCCTTTTTTGCCAAATCGCATAACACTTTCATAGGCGAGACTTTTAAGAATACCCAGTCATTGACGCAAAACTCTAAGTCCCTTCGTCGCACATCTGAGTATGACTTCTGTCGACTTTGAGCTGTTAGCGCCTCTCCCGAATGAGCTTAACTTTAACCACTATCTGCTGGACTAAGTCGGGTCCAATCAACCCTGACTCACC